AGGAACTTCTTAGGGAGAAAGATAAGAAGTTAGCAATATCCTTTAACTTTACGTTCCGATATATAGATGATGTTCTCTCACTAAATAATACAAACTTTATCAACATAGAAATTGACAATGAGGGTCGATTGAAAACAAAACTTTACGACAAAAGAGATGATTTCAGCTTCCCAATTGTGAACTTTTCATTTCTATGTAGCAACATTCCAGCAGCGCCTGCATACGGAGCATACATCTCCCAATTGATACGATATTCCCGGGCTTGTATTTCCTATCATGATTTCCTTGATAGAGGATTGCTGCTCACAAGGAAGCTATTAAACCAAGAGTTCCAAATGGTGAAGTTGAAATCATCCCTTCGTAAATTTTACGGACGCCATCACGAGTTGGTTGACCGTTATGGAATAACCGTTTCACAGATGATATCGGATATGTTCCTTATTTCGTAACTACAATACTATTCCCTTTTCACGAATGTGACCTACCGAATTAGACTATTTACCGGATTTGTAATAACATAAGCAACACGACGGGTGCCACATGTGGAGCAGGATCTGCTTACCCTTCCGGAGCACCTGAGATCACCCCCAGTTTTTGGTGGGGTTCGTGTCGCTTAGTCTTTAGTTTTCTATGTTGTGTCATCTGTACTATTATTTGTCTGTTTTTCTTTTTATTTTTGGCCATGGCGTTGTCAGTTTGTTTTCGATCTATGAGTTTGACTGTCCCTCTTGTATCTTTCGTCCCTCTTTTAAGGGGAAGGTTTAGTGCTCACAAACATGTTTAACCCCGCCACATTCTTTATGTGCCTGTCCCAAGTCAGGAGCCTGTAGTTCAGTGGTTGTCGTTGGTTCATGTCTGTAATATTTGTTTTTCGTTAATTGTTTTGTTATAAATTAGGCCGTTAGTTTTCTCAATTGAATTGTTTCATATTTTTCATGTCGGGGCCTTTTATAGCCGACTATACGGTATGGGTTTTTCTCATTGTTGAATGCCGTACGGTTGCCTATAAATGCTTACATCCACTTCATTTGAACTTTGGTGGATAGTTGTCTCATTGGCAATCATTATACCTCATCTCCTTATTTTTATATTTATTGCCGAAACGTACATGTTTAACATGTTTAATCCCGCCACATTCTTCATGTGCCTGTCCCAATTCAGGAGCCTGTAGTTTAGTGGTTGTCGTTAGTTCATGTCTGTCATATTTGTTTTTCGTTAATTGTTTTGTTATAAATTAGGCCGTTAGTTTTCTCAATTGAATTGTTTCTTATTTTTCATGTCGGGGCCTTTAACAGCCGACTATACAGTATGGGTTTTCCTCATTGTTGAAGACCGTACGGTTGCCTTTAATTGCTTACATCCACTTTGTTTGAACTGTGGTGGATAGTTTTCTCATTGGCAATCATACCACATCTCCTTATTTTTATATAAATGTTGTCAAGGAGGAAATGTATAAATTTAATCAACGCATCACACCTCCAGTAAGTATATCTAGCATATTTACCTTTCTCGTTTGAGAAAAAGGCTTTATATGAGTTGCAGCAAATAAATTTGTAATCAGATTTATCGAACGACTATTTTATTAGATAGGGAAACGTGTGTTTGATAAGATTGTGTGGAAGTGTAGTGTACAGAGTGGAAAAGTCAAAACTGTCAACCGAATCAAAAGGACCAATAAAAGCACGTAATTTATATAAAACATCCAAAGAAATTTTACACTCCAAAAATTGTTAATTCTACTATTTTCATATATTTTATTACAAATTAAAATGATCAGTTCTTTGAAAGCAGTAAAGGAACTCGTTAAAAGCACCGAAAGTCTTCTAGTAGAATACTTACTAGAGGTCGAGATGAAACGATATTTTACGGGTTTTTTGTGTAGTTTAGGTAACCAATACATAGTGGGGACCTTCAAATGTTCAGAAGAGGCCTTGAGCTGAGCAGTGGTTGTGACATGGTTATTTACTATATGACTCTCTGTGGTTCGTAGGGCCTTGAACGTAGATGAATGTATAATTTTATTCTTAAGGACTTCCGTGTAGTATTTACGTCATACCACCAGCACATTGTTGGCTGCTTTGTCGGCCGATACGAACACAAAACACTTTGCGAGTACTTGAATTTTGTTTTAAATCCTTGAAATGGACGTATTACTTATTCATAGTTATTCATTTATTTATTTCTAAATTATTTTTGAAATGTGATATGCGAATATCAACAATATTCAGAAATTTATTCAAATAGGAATCAAGTGACTTTTTGTCAGATTTCTTCCGTTTACAACATTTTATACAATAGGATGAAAGAGCATCTTTAATAACCTGACGACACTCTTCCCAATTTATTTTCGACGGTAGACGATAATTTTGTCCTTTTTCAGAAAGTTCATAACCTCTCGGTCTTGAATGATGTTGACGTCCCCAGTAATAACATGGCCATAGAGATCATATCTAAACTTTGATGTTTCACAATCTCATGTCGAAGGAGCATTATTTTTTATACTGAGGTCTGATGTACTGACGTTTAATTAAAAATTAGACTTCTACTTGTTTTTATACGAATAAGAAATTATAGGTGGCTCTATGTTATCAAAATATGGAGGTATAAAGTTTTGAACGGTAGATTCATGAAAAATACTAGACAAATTAATAAAACCAATACCTCTATTAATGTATTTAATTTTTATGAAATACTTTTTATGATCTTCAGGTTTGTCAATTTGAGGAAACAGTCTATGGTGACAAAAAGCTGTAATGATACGTGTACACTCATATTTTGGACTGAAGAACGATACTGTATCACACTTGTTATAAATATTATATAATTGACTAATTGGTATTTGACCCAGTTTGCATAATGATTAATGTCTACCATTGTTTTTAAATATAGATAAAAAATCATCAAGTGTAAAATTAGAACGATGTTTATTTCGTTGATTGCGGTTAACGCGATTGCAATGAGACCTATGATTGCGTTATCTTTTATCAACAATAGTCATATCAATAGTCTGAGGAAGTTTCAGATGTGTTCCCTTGGCCCATAATAGTGTCATGTAGACCTAGGGGTTATGCTGTATGATTGTCCTGGTTGTTTCTGGACGGTTTGAAGTGGTTGGAATTTTACAAATTTAATATTGTGTTTGTGTTTTTCGAAATGTTGGTAAATTAAACTTTTGAATTTCTTAGGTCTGCGGAAGCGGTATATATGTTCTTGTGTTCGTTTGAAAAATTAACGTCCGGTTAGCCCTACATATTGAATACTACATTTCGGTTTTGTTCATGTTACAAGATATATGAGGCTTTGGGTTTTTCAAGTTATGTCATATGAAAAAGAGAGAGTAAAGTTCTTCTCAGTAGTCAGTACTTCGTTACTGAAATGATTTATAACAAACATTTCTAAAATTGTCCGTTTATAAATTTTGAAATTATAAAGAAACTAAAGTTTCAACACCCTAAGGCAAAGTTGACCTTAGATGTATTTGGTTACTTTATTAGGTCCTTTTTGGTTATATAGCTCTCTCCAACTATTTCAATTTCTATATATCCTTGGCTTTCAAATATTCGGCTTTGAGCGTTACTGATGAAGGTAAATCCAGAAAAGCGCTTCCAACGCATAAAGTTTATAACGTGTTAATACAAGATCTATAATTGCTGAAATTCACGTCATTTGAACTCTGGCGGAAAGTTGTTTCATTGGTCATTGGCAATCAAACCACATCTCCCAATTTTGATATGCTAAACCAGATTCAAGTTTAAAGCTGAATGAAAAAAATGAAAACACGTAAACTATTTCATGCGTCCGAAGTTCTTTCCTAAAAATATTTGAAAGCCAAGGATGTATACGAACCGAAACAGTTGATGAGCTATATGACAAAAAAAATAAAATAACCCCACCCAAATCCATCTAAGGTCAACATTGCATAAGGTATAGGAACCTTAGTTTCTTTATAAAATGACGAAATGAAGAACAAACACTTTAAACATTATTCATTTAATATCTTATGCTAACCAATATTTCACACAATTCATTGATATAACATTTGAAAACAGTGACAGTTTTAAACGATTCTCAAATAAAGCAGACATAAATCAGACCGTTATTATTTTTCATTTGAATTGTTTCACATTTAGTCATGCGGCGTCCTTTTCATAGCTTCTTTTACGGTATCAGTTATGCTCACTATTGCTCATATTATTAGGTTTTTTAGGTAGTTTTGCTTAGTCGTTAGTTTTCTACGTAATTAATATATTGTTCAACTTGTGTAGACTGTCGTTTTCCGTTTTTGCAACGGTGTTTGTCGGTTTCTCTTTGAGTTTTGAATTTCGATTGTCCCATGAATGAATTTTCCGCCTATTGTTTTCAAGGAAACGAAATTCAGTCAGCAAGAGCATTAAACATCATATTAATATAAACTGACGACGCCCGATCTATTAAAAATCCAGGTTTTCAGATTGGTTGATTAATTGTTGTCGTTTGCCTAACGTCCAGTTACCAATATTACTGTTTGCATATTTAGAAAGCGAACACATTAAAAATTAATTTAATATACAGGCTTTGCAAAGTATGCTCCAACGGGATTAAATGCATGGTCTTTTTTACTTTTTTTATTCGAGCGTTACTAATAGATCTTTTGTGGCCGTTACTCTCGTCTGGCGTTCACCTGGTATATATGATGAGTTTATTTACAACCACACCAACTGGTCGATGCCACCGCTGGAGAGGTTTCCTCTCCTAGGGTAACACCAGTAAAAATGTTAGCACTTCTGTGTTGACATGACTTATTATTCATATTGTCACAATTTTAAATTAACTGTTTACAAAACTTTTATTTTTCGAGACACTAAGGATTGTCTACCCCAAGAATAGATAACTTTATAGCTATATTTGGCAATACCTTTTTGAATTTTGGAATTTTGGGTCCATAATGCTCTTCAACGTTGTACTTTATTTGGCCGCTTTCACTTTTTATTAAAAAAAAATTTTATTCGAGCGTCACTGGTGAGTCTTTTGTAGACCAAAAGCGCGTCAGTGAGTTTTACGTTCAAAACATTAAAACAATCATTTTAATTTTCGTTATTGTCGTAGGCCAACAAATTGTTCCGAATATGTTACTTAATAAACAGATAACCTTTTCAGAGAAGTGTATTACTTCAAGAGTACTTTGAATTCATTGACAAATTAGAAACTGTTGAATGCATCCAATATCTTGTCACCATAAACATAGATATTAGTATCTTCTTATCATCATGCGTGCAAACTTTAGATAATGATGTTGCGTTCCTCTTGCATTTTTAGACCAGGATACAGCGGTCCATTCATCTGATAATCCTTTTTTGTAGATACCGTTTAGATTTGATTGATGACAAGTTTTATACCACCATCCACCCTTGGCCTTTTTTGCACAGTCACGTTTATCGTAATCATTATCTTGGTCCATTGTCGAGAACTTACAGCCATTATGATACGTCAGACGATCATCTGTCAAAGAAAAAATAGGTTATAGTAATTTCAGGCGCAAAATAAAGCTCTTCCTACCTAATTGTACTTTACATTAGTCGTTGTAATGATTAAATTTAAAACAATTTGGTTGGTCCTCAGTAAAACAAGAATATAGTTACGGTACTTTAGACTCCATTACAAATTAGAGTCCAATTTTCAATTAGGTAACGCAATCAATATAATAGTGTAGGACGAAATGATTTCTTACATTTGTATATTAAAAGGGTTAAGGACTTTCAGCATGTTTTCAATAACTGCTAGCATTCTTTGATATGGTATGATATTGATAATTTCTTATCTGTCTGTACTTGTGTTTTTGTTATTTATTGTATTGCGTTTAGCGTTTAGCCTGTCAAAAGTAAGGTTGTGAGTTCGAACCCCGCTCGTGGCAAGTGCGTTTGACTCCGATCTTAATTGACCAGGATTGCTAGTTTTCCTGCCGAAGGTCTGTGGTTCTCTCCGGCTTCCTCCACCTATACAAACTGGATGCCACGATATAGCTAAGAGTGCTGAAAGTGGCGTTTAACACCAACAATCAAATTTTTTACTGAAATTTTTATACATGTTCTTTTATTTTCGTTTTGTTAGTCCGTTGATCAAGATTACATAGGGATAGGGTTTAGGAAATTCAAAAATAATTTAACCCCTTTACATATTCACAAGTACATGTGCCTGTTCAAAGCGAGAAGTCTATGGTCTTGTGGCATATCTTATATATGTTTTTTTTTGTTTTTTTGGTTAATTTACTGTTGGTAGTTTCTGTTTAATTGATTCACAACTTTGCCCTCAAAATGTCTTTTTGATATTTGTGTCGTGCAGTTGCTGTCTCGTCAACGTACATGTACAATATATATCCCATATTTTTTTTTTCTCATAATCCATATTATACTTACGATTGCACCCTACATTTGCCATAGTAAGAGTTAAAATCGTTTATCTGGACATTTTTGGGGTAAACATTTTCCCACGAAATTTACCTTGCGTCAACATTTCACTTTTTATTTCAATATAAATGTATTGTACAGGGCCGTGAGACGCAAACATAACACAAGGGTGATATTAGCCATATTAAGTTTTCGGTTTTTGTTGTAGTATAGCCGTTGGTTTTTTTTCTTCCATTTAATTGTTTCACAATTTGTCACCCCGACGTTTTATGATAGTTATCATTATATTGGCGTTGCTCATTGATGAAGGGCGTACTGTGACCAGTCATATATTTGTCTTTGTGGTCTTATTTTATAATTGTCTCATTGGCAATCCCATATTTTTGTTTAAAAAGAAAACATTTAACTGCCCCCTTCTAAGCCGATAACTGCGAACAAAACCCGACGATCAAGTAACTAAAGATACTGTAAATATCTCCATTGTAAGCAAACTTTATTTCAGGAGAATTGGGTTTACCTATAATTTTCAATTGGACTAAATTTCAGTAATTGTGAGTACCCTAAGATAGGTTAGTTTGTGTACTTTGGTTTTTGGGAGGTATCTAATTTAATGCTTTTTTATCGATCTGATGGGTCAAGCCTATTCCAACAGATTTTTAGTTTGTTATCTTGATTTGTCTCCATCTAATCGATTGAAGAGATTTGAACATCAGTAAACTACTGTCCCCTTAAATTATACCCCTATCCACCCTTTGAGTGTTTTGCACAGCCATTGTGACCTATCAGTTAATAACCTGTTATAGAAAAATAGGAAGGCTGTTGTTCTGTTTTTACGTAAACTGTACTTCCTACATTGACGGTCCTTTGAGTGATATGTCTGGTCACCAGTAAAAAAAAAAATCAGTAAAAAAGGCGTATCATTAGAGTACTTGCGATTCCTTTAAAAATGCTATACGAGAATATCACGATAAGTTTCGAAACATCACTTTATGGTAGACTGTAATTGCAATAATAAAACATAATGATTGTGATCCTCTTAGTTAAACTATACTATTAAATCATCAGATTTTATTTGTTCCTCATACATGTTATATATAAGCAAATGCTATTTATATTATCCTCTGTCTTTTAAGAATAACAAATCATGACTATACGATTTACTGATTGATTGATTGATTGCTTTGTGTAGTTTGCTTTACGTTCAGTTGCAAACATTTCACGTGTTTTCAAGACGAAAGCAAATTACAAATATTACAACTATAAATAGGCTTTGAAAAGTGGGTTAATGTAGTTCGCTTCACGTTCAGTTGCAAATATTTCACGCATTTTCAAGACGAAAGCAAATTACAAATATTTCAACTATAAATAGGTTTCCCAAAGTGGTTTGACAGGGCTATTTAGACTTTCAGTGCACAAGGATACAATTTCCCCAACAAGTTTTATAACGTGCAGACAGCCTGGAAATCTTCCAACGTCAGGCATCGGATTTAACAAATTTTGATTCGGGCGTGGATTTCACATGTATTTATACAGTCTGTGCAGTCAAACAGATGCTCCTCTTAAACGTGAGTTTTATTGCCGAATTGGAGAAGTGTAGGTCACCATATATTTCTCTACCCTGAGCAATCATTTTGACTCCCCTAACTTAAATTCGCACTGAAATCTATCAAATCATTCCTATATGTTAAGAATTTCTGCCTTAAATATAGATGTTGACGGTTCTAAATGTATTTTCAGGGCGATGCATTGGAGCCAGTAAAGCAGATATTTTAGCTAGTTTAGTCGATAGAGGCGAACACAAGTATTCCAGCACATTACATATTTTTTACTGAAATGCATTATGAAAGAAATGTCCAGTGAGCTTTGAAAATGAAACGTATATCTATATATATTATACTTTTTCCCCCGTTAATAAATTAAATATTTGTTTTAGAAATAAGGTTTCCACTCCATCAGTCAAGGTTGACCTTATATGAACGGAGCTTTCTTTTAATGTTGTTTTAGTTGTATAGATCATTACGTTTTTTTTTTAAATATTTATACATTACCTGGCTTACAAATGTTTAGGTCTAAAGTCTGCCCAGGTGAAGGTTAATCCAGAAAAGGAGCTTAGGACGCATGAAATTCATAAAGTGTTATTTTCATTATGTAATAGGTAAACAAGAGCTATTTTCTGCTATAAGTTATGCTTAATTGTTGAAAACTAATCCTTGTTCGTGAGAACGACGACTCGTCCTACATCGAATTTATGTTTACGGCGAGAAAAAAAAAATAGGGGAGCATTAAGTAGTGCCCAATAAACAATGTCCTGACGTTATTACTATCGGTGCTTTATTATACTGTAAATCCTTAATTTGTATTGAAACTTCCTTAATCATATTTCATAAAACAATATTCAAATATTATACGAGTTTAAATAATTCATCAGTATGTTTTATATTTCCTTAACGTTGCCGAACATGTTTCTTGAGCGCGGTCAAATGGTTTATAAGTCCGGGGAAACTATTGTATTAATTTCTATGAAAACTTCTACTCCGAACGTTATTATGTTTACTTGTACCCTGGATATCTGAAGAAAACAAAATTATGCAAACTGTATTTTGTCTTGGGTGGTATTTCATTGTTCAAAGGACAGGAATAAATGAACGTGTTGGGTTAATGCCAATTTGGAAGTAAAATCGTAAACGGATTGGTAATATTAATTCTACAATATGGCACGTTATAGCCAGTACAAATAAGTGTAATAATATTCACGGTACCAATTTTATAACAACATTATAATTGCTATAATTTCAATTTCCTTATAAAACAGATCGAATACATCGATGAGAAAAAAATTAAAGAAAATTTAGGCTACATTTCAAAGAGAGATACCCAAGTATAAAGAATTTCCCAATTAAACATGTACATATGAAAGTAGTTATAACCATATGCCCATATATCGGAAAATTGAACTTACAATGTAACAGTATCCATAGTAATTTATGATATGTTGAAATACTATACCTGCTGTGCCACTGTAACCACTTACAGTCAGTTCATATTTTGATGATTCGTTTTCTACTTTGAAAGTCTTGTAGATAGCGTACCATGTTCCTCCTTCCCAGTCACTTAAATCCACTCGTAATTCATACCGGCCACTAGAAGTTAACTTGTGAATATTGTCGTTTCCTTAATTAAACAAAAGAAAGATGAAAATTAGGCAAGGACTACCCGATCAGAAAAAATCGTCGTGTGAATCTTATAGTGTTATATGTCCACTTCGATAAAAATGGAGATAGCTACACATTTGATATCCAAGTGCAATGTTCTATCTCCCTATACAATTATAATACGAGATTTCCACACTATACGAGCTTTTGTCAGAAGTACACTGTTCTATTTCCAAACTCCCATTGAATTATAATAGCTGATTCATCTTGTTAGTTTAGAGACAAATATTTTTATAGTGTTTTATCTCCTCTATTTTTCATGTATTTTTGCCGTAAAAAAATTGTTATCAAAATATCTAAGTAGTTCTATGTACCATTAAAACGTTTAAACCCGCTGCAATTATTTGCACCTGTACTAAGTCAGGAATCTGATGTTCAGTAGTTGTCGGTTGTTGATGTGGTGTATAAGTGTTTCTCGTTTCTCGTTTTTTATATAGATTATAGACCGTTGGTTTTCCCGTTTGAATGGTTTTACACTAGTGATTTTGGGGACCCTTAAGAGCTTGCTGTTCGGTGTGAGCCAAGGCTCCGTGTTGAAGACCGTACTTTGACCTATAATGATTTCTTTTATAAATTTTGACTTGGATGGATAGTTGTCTCATTGGCACTCATACCACATCTTCTTATATCTATTAAATTGTTTGCACGGTTTGAACTCAATCTATGAGCAATTCTTAGCAAAACTAGCAGTTCAGAATTGGGGATATTGAACAGCTAAAAACGCAATGGTCTATCTCCAATAGAAATAGAAGGATAAATGTTTAAAACAACATTGTTTGTGGTGAAGTGTTCTATCTCCAGAAAAGGGGATGCTTTATGTATCTAAGTTGATTGCCTATTAAAAGGATATCAAACAAAGAGTCTCTCTTCATGTAGGTTAAGTTTATTCCTATATAACTTTTTATGTGTCAGTCAAATATGTATGATATTGCGCTTCTACACTTCATATTCAATTTCCAAACAGTTAGAAAAATGAGAAGTACATCATTTATAAGATTCACACGACGAAATATATACACGGAATTAATCAAAAATATTAAGCGCTGACATAAATTGTAAATTCCCGTGGAACAGTAAGAATTGCTACTTTGTATCTTTTTTCTTGCCTTCCTCCCCTGGCCTTCTTAGACATGTATTTATATAGTCTTTCAAGATCCTCTGAAGAAAGGACATCTAACTTATTTTAATATTATTCTATTAAATCTTAGTAAGTTTCCATTTCGTCTCAATTATATAAAATCTAAGATAAAGTATTATATCAGACTGCCAATATATTTTGTATAAAGCAATTGCCCAATTGTTATCCTGTATCGACACTTCTAACCCTTTGCCCTTAGCTGGGCTCTCTTTTAGAAAATAAACACTTTGTGTCGTACTATGAAATTAGCGAGGTTTTGTTTTATTATAAAATATAAGTGCTTGCCATATCTTCTATCACCTGTCTTTTGTTAAAGACCGTATGTTGCTTACTAGAAATGTTTGTGTTTGTGTTAGTCTGTGGATTGCTGTCTCTTTGACATATACCCATATCTCCTTTATTCATGTGAAACGGTTGATATAATATTTAAATATATTCAGAGATTTGGGACGGGTAAATGATGTCTCCCTAGATCAGATAAGTGTCTGCAAAAACTATATGACATACATCCATGATAATTGATTTTTTTTCTATAGTATTATTAGTAAACTGTCTGCACTAATAGTGTTTGTTATGTACTAGTTCCTAATATTCTAAAACCAAGCAATTTAATCACACCTTGTTTACAATGATTATTCTTTTATAACACAAATATTCCAAATTCATATTTATAAAAAAAATTGTAAAACTATATTTTGTAAGTGAACGTGTTTCAGGGTGTACTTGCATGTAAATGAATTTTTACAAAAATATAAACAAAAAATCGAAAACGCAGAAAACTTACTGGTTTAGATTTAAGTACGTTGTCTTGTGAAGAATTGAGTCGACTGCCACATCTCAATCTTATTAGAATATCTTCTTAGATTGCCATTCACAGTGCTGCCGATAGCGTGGTGAATAGCAAAGTAAGTTATCACTTTAACAAGATTGGCACCTGCACCATTGTAAACGGCAAGCTCATATGTTATTTCAATGAGATTGGCCATAACTATTTATAAAAAAATACCACACACACCAGTGCGACACATGAAAAAAAAAACTATGCTTTGACAATGAAAACCTTCTAAAACGAAGGTAAATAAAGAGATTCAGTGCAATTACTTTGATAACAAATTTATAGATACGGACCATATGAGTATTTGGACCAAACGCATATGATCCTGACCATATGAGTATATACTCCTTTGGTTATTAACGCACCGGACCATATGGGTACTAGTATTAAGATTTTACGAATAAATTTTGTAGTCCGTTCTCCGAACCTAAATCGGCACAAGTTATTTACTGCAATTCTTTATCTTTAACATACTGTCTAAATCTTCGTGTATCTGTTATCTTGCATTCGCTAGAGTCAATTTAAAAGCGCCTTTATCCTGTGGACATGTTTCGTACGCAAGTGAAACCATCTGCGTTAGAGGAATGGACTTTTTCCTCCTTTCACCGGTGTTAATATAAAAATAAGAAGATGTGGTATAATTGCCAATGAGGCAACTCTCCACAAGAGACCACATGACACAGAAATTAACAACTATAGGTCACCGTACGGCCTTCAACAATGAGTAAAACCCGTACCGCATAGTCAGCTATAAAAGGCCCCGAAATGACAAATGTAAAACAATTCAAACGCAAAAACTAACGGCCTGATTTATTATACAAAATTATGAACGAAAAACAAATGTGATATACAGCAACAAACGATAACCACTGAATTACAGGCTCCTGACTTGGGACAGACACATACAGAATGTGGCGAGGTTAAAGAAGTTAGCGGGCGCCCAATCCTCCCCTAACCTGGGACAGTGGTGTAACAGTACAACATATGAACAAACTATACAAATCAGTTGAAAAGGGCATAACTGATCAGATCGATCAAAGCACAAAAACAAGTAACAAAAACACAGAGTGGACATGGCAGGGTACTTATACATGTATATCCCCACAACAAAAAGACACTAAGTACAGATCTGAGAGTACTCGCATTTATGACAGCTAGTTCAAAGCCAATAACAACTTAAACAATCATGCATCTTAGACTAAAATATCAATCACATTAACAGTCCGAGAAAAACATGACCTTGTGCAATGCCAAAATACAGATATCGACAGATTGTAGAGTCATGAATGTGCATATGTATATAAAATGATATTTAGTTTGATTTTAATTTACTGATAACAAAATCAATATTAATACCAATATAAACTATATTAAGATTATTTTACTTTCTTATTTTATTCTAATTTCTACTAACTTTCACTTGGTTGATGTTTTATTGCTCCAATTCATACGATCTTACAATAACGGCAGTTTATACGTGCTGCCCTTCTATTCTTATATTCCACATTAGAATAGGAGCATGTCATTGAACACATTAAATAACTAAAGATTATTTGAAGTATTCAAGAAATCTTAATTTTACTAAATACAAATTAAACACCAAAATAAATAACAAATGAGATACAAAAAAGGGGGGTGCTATACCCAACGTGCCTAAGAGTTAAACATTGACTTCTTGTTTAATGTTTCATTTAGATATTTTTTCCAGTTATATTCCAAAATTGTGTTTCGTAAGGAAAAATAAAAAATGACCATGTAAAACGTTTTTATTATAATGTTTACTTGTGAGTAAATTTCATATTACATGTATTTAATAAACGATGACATAATGATTGCTATTTGATTAAATAAGTCACAATTTCATTGAAGGAACTCTTAATTTATGACACCTTAAAGGGCCATACTTAATTAAGGTTTATCGTAATTAATACCCGGACCATACACGTATGGTCGGACCATATGTGTCTATACACATATGGTCATAACCCTACGCGTATGGTGAAAATACTCATATGGTCCGGAACATATAAATGATATAAAAATTCTTAAAAAAATATGAAATACAAAAAAACATAAAATGATAGCGATGAAAATATTGTTCCATATTGCACATACTGATGACGAATCTAGACAACTTCATTTAGTTTTATTAGTTATTCATTCATGAGGAGTTACTAGAGAAAGATGCATACTCTCTCTTTAGTCCTTGCAATTCACTTGCTAGCTATACTACGATTCCAATGTTTAAGTAGTTTAAAACCACTAATAATTGTCAAAAGAAAAAAAAGATAAAGAAGAAATGAAATTTCCATAATTAAAACATTAAAAGAATAACACAAATATTTGAAAGATATTACCTAACCAAAAACTGCCATTCAGACTTCCAAATCCATTTTTATAGTCTGACCAAGTTCTATAAAAATCAGTAAAGTCATCTTGTCGTCTTTGTATTACCTGAAAAAGAGAACTAAAATGCTAAATCAATACCCTTAAAATACAATACATTTCACATGTTTGATTTGATAATGACTTTTATATTATCAGATTTACCAGCGTCATCATAGTTTCTGTACGAATATCATTTTTCAGTTTATCAATATCAATTTTTCCAACCAGAAACAACTACATATTTTCCGTGACTGTATTGTAAAACAATTCCAACATTAATGTATGTGTTTATTTGAGTAAACCTTGGTTTATTAAAGGCACATTGTCGCTTCCATTTTCGTATCTTTAGTGTTTAACTATCTACTATAAATTTAATTTTATCTATTGTATGCCTCATCTATATACTACGTCTTGTAATACCATCACATCAATTACATTACATTTACATTATTGTCAATAAACGTAATTATGTGGCATTTCTTACAATTAACCCTCTATTAATTAATGTTACTCAATGTTGGCACTAAAATATATAAAGACGTCGATTATTTACTGTATTTGAACCATTTGATAGTTGAATTAAAATGTAAGACAAATGAAAATACAACGTAATAGATTTATTTCGTCCGAAATACTTTTGTGGGTTTATCGTCATCAGGAAATCCAGGGATGTGTAGAGGCATAGAAGTGGTATGAGCCATATTACCAAAAGTGTCATGCTGAATATCCAAATTTTAAGCACAAAGTTTGCCTAAGGAGGTGTAACCTTAGTTTCTTAAGATTTTTTAAATTTTTTCAACGGATAATTCTTTACAAATGTTCAAAATCATGTCGGTACCGAAGCACCGACTACTAAGCTGATGATATCCTTGGTACCTAACAGTCAACCGAGAACGTTCAAACCAAAACATTTATAGGCAGACATATGTAATAACGGTGAAAGTTATCCGGTCAAAAGTGACATAAAAAGAAAATACAAAAATACCAAACTCCAAGGTAAATTCAAAATGGGGAAGAACTGACAAAATCGAACCTTGGACTTTAACAACCATCGGAACGAATGGAAAAGAACTGTCTTATTCCTGACTTGGTACAAGCATTTTCTGAACAACAAATGGTTGGTTAAACCTGGTTTTACAGCTATCTGAGCCTACCTCTTGTATGACAGTTGTTTACAGTTCTGTTATATTGATTAAAATGGACGAGTAACTCAAACAGACATAGTAGGTTAGAAAAAAGAGGCGAAAGATTCAAAGGGACATTCAAACTAATAAGTCGAAAACAAACTGACAACTTCATGGCAAAAAACGAAAAACGACGAAAAGATAAACAACAGTACAAAAACACAACATGGAAAACTTGACACTGAGCAACTCGAACCCGGCAAAAACCGGGCATGATTTTAGGAGCTTCGGAAGGGACAAAAATCCTGCTGCAAATGTGGAACCCGTCGTGTTGCTCAGGTTAGTACACATCCGGTGATAAGTCTAGTTTGATAGGTCACATTCGAGAAAAAGGACGGGATTGTTGTAATTACAATTGGAACATGTTTGTCGTTATCTGGGAAACAGATATTCTATAACCGTCAACCGACTCGTCCGTAAAAGCTTCAATGTGACATTAATTGGGATCCAGCAGTCCAAACCGTGTAAACATACATAACAGACATACAACTCAAGTAATATTCAAATTTTGAAAATGGCCTATAATCTACATTATATATATATATTTAATGTTAGGAAGCATTTATATTTGGTTTTTTTACATGTCGTAAACCAGCTGAAAATTTCAATCATGTATTAGAATTAGTACAGCTGTAGACAATTTTAATCAATGATTGATTTATTGTTGTTTGCCAATCATCCAGTAAAATGCTTAACAAAGAGACATTACTCCTGTACAAATAATAGATCCGTGCTTATTTTCGAACTCGTCCCCGACTTTGCTGATATAATCATTCATATGAATTTCAAAACAATCCTGCAAGAAATGTAGACTAGAAAGCTCTTATAATGCAATTTTCTATATAATAAATATTTTCACGGGGCATAACTCTTTTGAAAATAGATGATCGGCACTGATTTTCGCACCTATCTGAGACATTGATGATGTAAACCTTTGATATAAATTTCATAAATATTTTGCAAGATTTGTAAACTTGAGACCGCTTAAAATGCAATTTGGTATATAATTTATATTTCCAAGGAGCATAATGCTCTTGAAAATAGATGTTTGGCACTGATTTTCGGACTTCAAGACATTGCTGATATACACATATGATATGAATTCCAGAAACAAATGAACGATTTGTACACGAGAGAGCGCTTCCAAGACCGGACGGAGCATGTATGTGTGGGTAAATACATTTGAAACCAAATCATCAGCTCGTATCATAAAACCAAAAGATGCATTTGTAAATAAAAAAGTAACAACTTGTAATTGTTTTATATTACTTTTAATTGAATACAACGTCACCAGATTCTGATATGACCAATTTTTTCTGAATTTGTATCAATTTGGCTCAAAATTCTGAAAAGTATTAATTGTACTAAACACAGACTTAATATTCTTTAATTATTCTAGTTTCTCTTAATGTTGTGTGTTGACAGTTTGAACACTTACTGAATTTGACTGAACATATTCTTAACAGTCTTAAATGTAAATAAAGGCAACAGTAGTATACCGCTGTTAGAAGTTCATAAATCGATTCAGAAAAAAAAAACAAATCCGGGTTACAAACTAAAACTGAGAGAAACACATCAAATATAAGAGGAGAACTACGACACAACAGAAACACAACATTAAAATGTAACACACACAGAAACGAACTATAATATAACTATGGCCATTTTCCTGACTTGGTACAGGACATTTTAAGAAAAAAAAGGTGGGTTGAACCTGGTTTTGTGGCTAGCCAAACCTCCTGCTTTTATGGCAATGTTAAATATAACATTAAAATGACAACAGCACATGACAGGACCACAATACAAATAAATGGGAGAACATATAGGACAGAGAAACATACGTATAATAGCTAACAAAAGGTACCAGGTTTAAAATTTAATACACAAGACGCGTGTTTCGTCCACACAAGACTAACCAGTGACGCTCAGATAAAAAAAGTACGAAAGCCAAAACAAGTACAAAGTTGAAGAGCTTTGTTCGAAGTTGTCTTGGCACATTACGAACAGTTTTAACTCTATTTGATATTAAATTGATACAGTCTAAACAGTCATTACTATGTCTGAAAAAGTCATAATACTTAATACTGAACTGTCGGCATGTATATCCCTATTACATAATGTATGATTTTAACTCCCGGGGACTTTCAAAAGTTTATTCAAATGTGTCGAGACCAACCAGCGAAACGCAAATAACATGCATGATCTCTACCAAATATGACAAATTCGCATGACCATTGAAATTATTTGAATTCAAGAATTGAATAATAAATCGCATTATATTGATAAAGAGTTTTTAAGACAGTACATTAAAATAAGCTGAAAATGGAAATTAGCCAGTGAACAACCCAATCCTTTTCTTTCTTAGCTCTAACTACTAACCTTTTTCTATAATTCTTTTTCATTTTAAACTTTCTTAATTTAATGAATCAATCAACTAGTTTTCATTTCATTTCTCTTCCTCAATGCCACAAACTGTTTTTTTCTCGAGATTTGTTAATTATCTATAATTTGGAATATTACAAAGTTCTCTCGACCAATGAAACTGTAGGATTTGGTGTTTCTTAATTGTGAGGAATGAATGTAAATCATGTTTTAAGTAAGAGGTTATCCTTTGGTTAAGGCCTATTTACAGTTCAAAACAAAGAATTTCTACAAATGAGTTACAATTGTCCAGCAGCACATTTATTAGCTAGTACGAATTATTGATTGAAATAAACAAAAAATCAAAAGATTAATTTACAAATTATTTAGAAAGAGAAAGTCTATAAAAACCGACAAAATCAAACGTTACAAGTCAACGGAACGAGTGAAAAGCAACAACCATATTCCTGATTAAACCTGGTTTCATACCTAGCTAAGCCACCCGCTTGTATAACAGTTGTTTATAGTTCCGTTATATGGGCAATATTAGCAACCCAAACAGACATAATAGGTTAATGTGACAGTATTAGAGAATTTATAAGAAGTAGTGGATTCTTAAACGATAGTAAACGAGCGACGTTAGTCGCAAGTTAATTATCGTTTCTGAATTTACTATTTCTTATAAATTCTCTAGCTTAACCCATTTCTAGTAAAACGACTGTCTGTTTTACGTTTTGACAATGAATCATCGGAATTTCATAAAGATAATTTCGTATTGTCTTTTTTTTTCTATAATAGTAGATAATGATTATATCAACACGGTTCACATCTATATTTAGACACGTTAACATCAGTTTATTATGACTTAAAGAAGGTGTTATCTACCCTTTTTAACTCTTATTTTCATATTGGTTAATAATTATTTCATTTAATGTTTAATCATTACAAATTAATTAAATTGAATAGATTTTAGTATTTATGATTTATTTAAAGACATATATTAATATACAGAATTTATTTATCTTGTCTTGAAAAGTTTAAAAATCTAATTACCAAAATTTTGAACCTTTGAAATTTATATATATAGTATTTAGCAAAATATTATTAAATTGTCTGCGAGCTGGCTACCAATTAGCCGTACTAATCCAAATCTATAAGGTTAGCGCAACTGCCACAAACCTACCGTTTCATAGTGCTCCATTTCATGTTGCTTTTCACAATAAAGAAAATTATGTGCTAAAGGTTTTAATTGAACAATTATATATAAATTTTGCTTAAACTGTTTCCGCTTCATTAAGTTTGGATTATTTTAGCGTTATTACATTTGGCATCCATCGTCAATCAGTTAATAAGCTAGTATAATATGTGGTACGCATTCCCGAATCTCTAGCAGAATTGCTCCTGCTATGGATGTATAATTATGTTGATTTTATAAAATTTTAATCAAGCTGTTCATAGCCGTGATCGTTAAGTCGTTGGCAACGAAAGTCATAACGGTGGTATTAACAGTACCCGGAATAAAATTTTCCATCGTAAATTTGTTCTCGACAAAAATAATGTTTTAATCTTAGATGTATTATATATTTCATTTTCATATAATGGCGATGATTTTGTTTGTGTGTTTTACTGTCAAAGAAATATTTCTATGGTCGTGGCTTTTATATCACACTTTATTCAAATTAGTGTCCGTTCAATGTTGACATGATGTATATTTGGACTATTATAATCAAACAAAGAAAAATTGATTGATAGCATGATAATTTTATAAAACTAAAACCATAAGTAGGCATTTGCTATGACGAAAAAGAAATTCGAAAGCCCTTGTACGTTAAAAGTGACAAGTGTAATAAGCATATGGATGCTTATTTTAGCACGGAATTGTACTGATTGATACAATTCCTTGATTTTATAGTGGTTACAATTAATGTGTAATAGCCACAATCGTATGAGGTTCAGTTCATTATCACGATGTTAAAATTCTACCAATGTTCAAACCTGACAACCGGAATGAACTCTTTTTTTTTATGATTTTTAAGAAAATGTTTTACTTATTTTTTCTCTTGTCATTTCATATTTTGATATTGCTATATAATTATACTCAAGAACGTTCAAATGTAGAACATAATCTTCCTTAAAAAATAACACCCAAAATAAAAACAAATTAAAAAAATTGGAAAATAAAACATGAACAAACCAAGACATAATATATATTTCAAAGATTACAGAAGCTAATTATCAATGAGACAGAAATCCAGTTTATTGACATGTACATGTATTGACAATTAAGAGCTTTAAGAGTGTAATTTTAATATTGATTATGTCAGCACTCGTGGTATAGTGGTATCATGCATATACTAAAGCTGTAATGGTTTACGATCAAAATACGCGCGAGTTCGAACCCTTCATATGAAACTCGTTTTTGAGAGGATACAAGATCGTAAGTTAAAAGTTAAATGTTATAATATAAGTTATCTTAAGTCAACACAGTGGTCAGTGGAGTCTTGACAAAATGTTGTTGATAGTATAGATCGTATATAGTATACACTTTCTCGATAAAGTAAAAATTAACATGATTAAGCAAAATAAAGATACAAAGGTAAACAAAATGGAATAAATGTTAATATCTGGAGTATTGCCTATTCTACTTTAATTGTTGCATGACCATAAAACTCATGTGCAGTTAAAATATCAGGTACATTTTATCATACATGTATATATATTGCCATTTTTAAAAAAATCAGATACTTTATAATATTTTAATATATAGGTTGTTTTTCCATTAAATTGTTTGCGTACCAATTTTAAACAAATATAAAGTGAAAAAATCAAAATTAAAGACAAAAATAAATATAACTTATTAAAAAAAATATGTTTGTTTTTGTATTTTATTGAATTTTTAATTTTTTTATCATAGCCAAAAACGTGTTATCCCAAGAAAAAACCTATGTCCCCTAACTATGAATAGTTGAAAAATCTAAGAATTATTCATTTGTATTTAAATGATGATAGTATCACCAAAAGATTGCAGTAGCCTAAAAACCGTAATTTATCATACAGTTTCAGACATGCATTTCTGTATCTAGAAAATTTCAGAATGTCAGATATCTGCTCTGACAAATCTAGAATACTAAGAAAAATTCAGAATGTTAAGAATATATTTGGACGAAATCAAAATGATCAGAATCTGTAAGGACAAAGTTAGAATCATGTAAATAATACACTGAGATTCATTGAGACGTTATTTATACATCTTGAAAGTTAACACAAAATTTAGACACAGTTTGGTCATTTAAGAATCTGGTAACTTTCTGGTGAATTTGAAGGGAGATCTATCATACTGAAAATTAAAGGAACTTGCTATGCTTATCTCTCAATGCATTACTTGTAGTTTAAAAGACACCAGAGATTTAAAAAAAAAAATCCTGTTTCTGTTTGTTTAGAGCAGAATAAATATAAAATCAAACTAAAGACAGACAACTATAAAAATAAATAAAAAATCTGAAATTGGAAGTATCTTAACCAATAACTTACGGTCCACCTTCCGCCATCGACGTCCATGTTACAATAGGCTTTCACAGGATGAATATGTTCTGGGTATATTGTATAAACTCCACTTTTCGTATTACCATCGTTTATATCAGTACAGTCTCTTGACAACTTAACAGGTCTCCCGGTCTCTGTTGAAAAAAATGATTAAACTTTTAAATTGCTACAAATAAGAATACTACAAATAAAGATTGAAGTACAGTTATTTTGCCAATAACGAGGATGAATTTAAAAAATGTCCGAAATTAAAAATACATGTAGGTACCATTTCAGGAAGATAATAATAAAACTTACTTTCGTACACACTAAAGGAAATGAATACTAGATAATCATTAAAACAAAAGTAATGAAAATTGACTTTTAGTCATTTATAACCCTAAAATCGAAACAAAACTATAACATTCAATTCACCTTTGCTGACAATTTTTTCCTCTGATATATCTAGGTCATGGTCAAACCAGTAAAGTAGTTAACCTTTAATCAATCGATACTATTGTCTCGTAAATAATGAAAATAATAATCTGCTTGCTTATTAGTTCTTAATACGTTTCCATTCATATAGCAAATTCTAGTTATTCGCATAATTCATACACATTGTGAAAAGCCTGGAAAATATCGTTTGTTTTTGCCATTGGTTAGAAATTCCCTTTGCGGGGAATTGACAATACTCGTAATCATAATTACAATGTCGAAGTCAAAAGAAAGACTCAGTTAAAAGTTAAATTCGACACCAATCAATATCAGCAAAACACATGATCCAGCTCATGAGTCTCTTTCGATCAAATCAAATAACCTTTCACAAATGTTTCACGTAGATAATAATTCCTAGAGATATATGTCTTAATATTGACATATTGACAATTGTAAAACATAGTTGAGTGTTAACGCTTTTCTTGCATGTAGTACTGCAACAATAACATGAATCAGAGTTTCACTAACTTTGATACCAATGTGTCTGTGTATTGGACATGTTACATATAATTAATGAAATTCAGGTTATTAAGCATGCACATTACAGTTTTAGACAATTCTATGTAACGCAAACTTTAAATAAAAAAATTAGTTCCACTCAGTCAAAAACAATAGATCAATATATTAACTAAAATTCTGTCAGATGACTTTTTGTCATCTGTGTCCTTATTTTGCTGTCATATTGAAGTTTATCTCACATCTTCTCTTATTCATAATTATCATTCATACTGTGAATTTAATGGTTGTTTATTTCTTATTTCTACTCAACATCAATAGATCGGATTCGTGTATTGTCTAAGTCACGTATACCTAACTCGCAAAGAGCTGAAATAGTTTTTAATGGAATTCTACTGTTAAAATACATTTTTTTTCTTTTTTGCAAAACATCGAAAGATTCCGATGATAGCCAAACCTCCCACCCCCACCCCACCCTTTCCAGACCCCTAACTCAGATAATCCCAAATTCAAGCTACGATAATGTTTAACCTAAACATTTTCTGCAACATTAACGTTTTATTTATTTCAAAATTATTGCCATCATCATTTTATGACTGCTTAACACATATGGATACACAAATTAATTTGGACTCTCTATTCTACAAATAAAGCTAAATATTTAAACTGTACCTGAAACTGTGTCATTATAGTTTCTATTCGTATCTTCTAATTTATTTATTAAGTTTGTAACATTTTCTGTAAAATCTCTGAACATTCTTTCGAAACGAGACACTGTAATGTTAAGTTCATCTTGACTATGTCCAGCAATCTCCTCAATTTTGCCAGTATATTTAGTAGATATAGCTCTATCTATATAGTGCTTAAGTTGTTTATTTAAAGAAGAAACGTCAAGAGCAGCCACCAGTGGTGCTTTAATGTCATCTGTTACCAAAGGCATCTCCACCACAGCGTCATCAGAAGTATTTAATGGTATTGTCCAAACAACATGATTAGTTGTTAATTGCAAAAACTGAAAAATTAATAACCACAAAGTCTTTGGCTTCATTCTCATTTCGAATTTAACGTTTTGGTCAGATTAGAATTTATAAACGATATTCTTTTTTCATCTACATCTTCGTCTTGCAGCAACAACAGTAAGATGTTCAAATCTGGGGATTTCAGATGACGCACAATAATGCAATATATTGGCATCTATCTATTTTTCTTAATTTCTTAATTAATCGAACTACATTATAATGTTTGTAAAGTTTCAACATTCTTCCTTGTGTCGTAATCTACAGTACAAAACAATTTCGTTTGAAGTAGACTTGGCAAAAGAGATTTGTTTATGTTCTGAGAAACCGATATTATTAGGAAGAGACATCAAAAGCTTTAGATGAATAAAGAAATAATCAGTTGAATCTTTATTTACGACACTTATAATAGTTGATTCCCGTGGGAATGCCGATAGAATGTTGAAAAACATGTCTTCCAAACGTAACAAATATGTTGTTAATCAAGAAATAAAGCATCTTGATGATGTCAGTTTCAGAGAATTTGTTGTTTTAACCAGAATGATTGTTTACAAAGTACGATGTATCCCTCCTTTGCATTGTCTTTGAACATCAACATTAATACTGGTTAACCTGTGAATCGGTCGAAAGATTATCCGAGAAGCCGGTTAAGACAAAATGTTCGATTTGACAACACTATTATAATATTTTACAATGAATGAAATATACAAACTTGAAAAAAAAAGACATAGAAAGAAAATAGAGTTTACATTTGAATATAAATTAGCTTTTCTAAAGGTAGAATCTACATTAATTTGTAAAAGCTAACTTTATAAAAACAAAAACTTTTCTGCAAATGACATTATCCAGATACATGATTTTTGTATTGACATCATATTTCTTAAGTTTGGTGTTTATCAACCGACAGTCAGCATTCCTATAGGAACCAAGTGTGTTTATCCCCTTGACGACTTCATACAAGAGCATATCAGGAATATCGAAATAACTTTTAACTTTAGATTGCCTAAATAAATGATGTCCTCTCAGTTATTTGTTTGTTGCTTGCTGATCGCATCGATACAACTGAACTTGATATAACGGATACCCTAAATATAGTCAAGTCAGCTACATATATTTACTTGTCTACAATTAACAATCATTTCGGGGTAAAATAAAGAATCGAACTGTACGACAAAAGTAGATAATGCCAATTCGACCATTTTGCACTTTTATTATCTGTCCCGGAACATTCTTATAGCGTCTGTATAATGGGTATACATCTCCCAGTCGATATGATATCCCAAGAGTTGTGTTTTTCTATCATGTAGATTTAAATTTAATATTATATAATACTGTATCAAAGAATTTTAGAATTTACTAAAAATGCAACAAAATGTATTCAACCCGCAAGCTATTATTGCAATTGACGCGTGACATGTGACTGTTCCCGATCGCCTTATATTTACAGCCCCTATGGCCAATGTTAGTACTGGGGATCTAAACATATTTCAACATGAACATCTCCGAAAGGTGATTTCTCATGGTCCTTAGTTTAGAGAACCCCAACACATCAATTGGAACCATAATTTTAAAATAATTATGGATTCCATTGTGGACTACGCCAGAACATGGGCTTAAGGAAAAGTTGAACCGGACACTTTGTCAGAATGAGTAAAAACAATCAGGTCTCTGATAAAACGTCGAATTCATATTTGAAAAACTTTGTAAATGATCGACCAAAGTCCGTTCTCAGAGACATAGAAGCTGTGAAATGTCTACTAAAGTAGTATCATCTCTTTACGATAAGTATGTTGTCGTTCATGCGAACAAAGCTTCAAATAATATTGTCTTTGTATGTAAATCGTACTACTACGAGTGTCTTGTAAAAGAATTAGGAATAAATGAACACTCAGGTAATCCCACATACAAAAACATATCATTTGACAAGGCTGAGATTTTGGCGAATCATAATTCCTTCATGGCTTCAATGAACATTACATTGAACAGCAAATTGGAGGACTTACCTTGTTTGAATTGGATATCTAAATTTCACAAAATTCCGAACAAACAACGGTACATTGCCAGCTCATAGGCATGCTCCACCAAGGAATTGTCCATTAGATTGACAAAAATTCTGTCCGCAGTGAAAGAGGGTCTTCAGAAATACTTTGAAACTGTTTACTCGCATAGTGGTATTAACCATATATGGATTTAAAAAAACTCTAAAGAACTTCTGGATAATTCTAAATCTTGGTCTTTCTCTGAAATTGATTTGGCAACCCTGTATACCACCATTCCCCATGTGAAATTGAAAAATCGTCTAAAAGAAATAATCCACAATGCTTTTCAACATAAAAATGATAGCATACGCTATAAATTTATTACTTTGGGATACCATACGGCATATGTTGTTAATAGTGAACAAAAAGGTAAAACATGCCAAACAAGTGATCAGTATGCTGGAGTTGCTTATTGAAACATATTTGTTGAATTTGGAGGTAGACTTTTTTCAACATATTGTCGGCATTCCTATGGGACCGAACTGTGCGCCTCTTTTTGCCGACCTCTTCTTATTTTCATATGAGTCGGAGTTTCTTCAGACAATTGTCAAAAATAAGACGATCAAAGAAACCAGATCATTTCATTTCACATTCAGATATATTGATGAATCAGATGTTCTTTTCTTTCCATTAACAATCCAAACTTTGCTGGTTGGGTTCCATTAATATATCCTCCAGAACTAGAAATTAAAGAAACAACAGACACGGCTTCCTCTGCCTCATTTTTAGACTTATACCTCGAATTTGACATAAGCGGTCATCTCAATACCAAAATTTATGACAAACGAGCCGACTTTAATTTTAAAATAATCAATTTCCCCCACCTTAGTAGCAATATACTAACCTCACCTGCATATGGGATATACATTTCCCAACTCATTCGGTATTCAAGAGCTTGCAGCTGCTACTTAGACTTGTGTAAAACGTCACCAGTGTCTGAGCAGAAAGTTGATGAACCAGGGTTATATATAAGAACGTCTCGTCCTTTTTCTAAAAAAAGTTCATCAGAAGATACCAAGACCTTTTTGATAAATATTCCGTATCAACTTCACAAATAATACACGATGGTCTTGAAGTTAGGATTTTAGGTACTGACGCTGTTTATCATCTTGATTACGTGTTATAGCATTCTTTTATTTGTCTTTG